CGATATTTTATTATCCCGATATAGGAAGATTCTCGTCGCATATGATGGAACAATCATATATTTTACAAGAGATATACGTTATGTACACATTCGCGTTGTATTATTACAAAGTAGCTTAGGTCTAGGTTTGCATAATATTCATTAAGATTTTTTTTTTAGGTCTATCGGTTTTTCTATCGTTAATCTTAGTGATATCCTTCTCTCCTTCGCTATTCCTTAATAATCGCATAAACTCTAAGCTTTACGAATAATAATATACACTAGATAGTACACGAAATATACACTCACGATTAGGTAGGCATTTCTTCACGTATCTTTTTTTTTTCCTGTTCGCAGAAAACACATTTACGTTAATTAAGTTAATCGCGCGGAGAAAACGCGACGTGAACTCTTACGACGAGGCTTCGCTCTCTCTTTTAAACGGGGACAAGTAGTGCTATAGAAACAAACGACTACATAAGAATATACAACTATACAAAAGCCTCACGACGAGGCGAGCTTTCACTTCACATTGTGCTATTGTTTGTTCCACCTTTAGCTGAACTTGTGTGTACTTCTCGCCGTTAGAGTGTGAAAAACAAGTGTATAACTTAGCGTGGAAAAGAAAATGTTCCAAGTTCTGTTTTGCGCGGCGCGGTACTCGCGTTCAGCTAAAAGCGGGCTTCGGAGACCTCGTATCTACGAAGCGACGTTCTCTCGTGTTTCTCTTCTTTGTGTGTGTGCGTGTTCACGCGCGATTGTGACTTTCTTACGTGTTTTTTTATTTACAAGTAAAGTATCTTCCGGCTACTGGCCGTACTTGATATGGATAATTATGAATACAATATTAATCGTAATAATGAAGTGTGTAATACTAATGATAATGGCGGCAGTGATGCGGTATTCGTCCGTGTAATCTTAAAAATACAAAGTATAGCAATTAGACCTTAAAAGAAATCGCGATGTATGGTGCGCACGATTGATACGCATGCTGCCGCATAAATTTGAGAGATTTAAGATAATTTGTATATAAATATTATGCTCTTTTCTTTTAGTCTGGCATACGCGAGGACAGATTTACTCGTTACGTTGTAACTCCTTGTCTTTCTTTCTGAAGATTTAACGAGAATTAATTTCTTATTGCCATTTTCTTCTTACGTTTTGAAGTTACCTTCAGGAAAGCCGTGTGTGTGTGTGTGTGTGTGTGTGTGTGTGTTTAACGTTTGTAAATAAAATTCGCATTTCACCGATAAAATAATATCGCTCGCTATTAAGAAACACGCGATACGCGATACTTTCCAGACAGCACAAGACGTTCTCAAGATGATCCTATGATGAATATGTCCAGAATGTCCTGGGATATTTTAAGAATATGGAATATCCTTAAAGTGTCCCAGGACATCCCGGACATATTCGGAATAATATCGGGGGATATTTTCAGGATATTTAATTGTGTTATTGTAAATATTTTAAATGAGAATTTTATGCGTATATTTGACTTCATTAATTATAGTGCAACATTAGAAGTAATTTCAAAATGTTAAGTAATAAAATATAAATCTCCTATAAATGTCCACTGTGTATCCGCTAGTCTCCGATAGCATAAGAACCCAGACAGCACAATCTTCTAAAAAATGTCTCAAGGATAAACAGTATGAATATAGCCTATTGAATTTGTGATTCTGAATTGTGCTTTCTGTCTTTTCGTTTAAATTATAAATGTAAGGAAAATAAAGCATTTTCGCGTGCGCGCGCGCGCGCGACACTAAATCCCAAATCGGACTTAACAAATTGAATACATTAATAGCTCGATCCAAGAGTCAAAAGATTTTAGGATTCTAAGAGATTAAAATTTAAAAGGATTCAAAATTATTTCGTTTCTAAAAATGAAATTGAAACTATTAAGATATTAAATTTGCCAATTCCGATTTAAAATCGAGTCAAGTGCATTTTTTCCTTGTATTTATAATTCACATAGAAAAAACATAACTCGACACAATTCGAAATTTGACACAATCAGCAGCAAATTCAATACATTATGCTTTTTTACTTTAGACGCCTAAGAAATATCCGCAACATATCCCGTAGAAAAGTATTCAGACAAAAAGGAGATTTCTTAGTCCGCTTTTAAGTTCTAAGTGACAAAAGTTCAAAAACATTAAAAATTCTTCAACACTCAAATCTGTTACACTTATTATCATATTTACATTGGTCAAGTAATAACAAAGAAGAAACTAAAGATAAAATTTAAAACTAAGTATTTTGTAAAAGTATTTCATATTTGCTACTATTTGCTTATACGATTTGTTGCAAATGTCGAGGACTTATTCTTGACCAGATTTCAAATATGCTGGTGATCGATGTTTCCCCACGCTTCTTCCAAGATTTCGAATAACTTGATTTTATTCGTTACGTCGCTCTTGTCAACCTTCTGGCCTCTAAAATGGATCACAAATTTTCAATTGCGTTTAGATATGGCGATTGTGCTGGTCAATCCAGCGGTTTGATCCTTAAGTCACGGAAAAAGATAGTAATTTTACGAGCGATGCGTTTTGGATTATTAGTTTGTTGGAAAATAAAGTCATCTTTTAAACCAATCTTTCTTGCTTTCGTCAAACTTGCTTTCGTTGCACTCCAAATCACCTTCTTTCAGAAGTCTAGTGGCTTCTCAATGTAATTTTTAACGAATTCTAGACGTTTGATCTTATTGGTCTTTCGTATCAAAAGGCGATGCAGCGCTCGTCTCATGCAATCAGCTGATTGTCTTTGCTACAAGTATATAAGAAATAAGTCATTTGTCCTTGTCCATTGTCATCATACTTGTATCCAGTACGCCTACCGTTTCCCGTGCGCTCATTGACCCAGACGTCTTAATTAATAACTTAATGACTATTACGCGAATAACTTTCGCGATTTGTGCAAAATGATGCACATGACTTTTCTTCTCAGTTTGATCCGATTAATCTTCACAATTTTTCGTTTCCAAAAGATCCCAGACACCCTGTCCCAGACACAGAATGTATAAAAAGTTCACTGGGACGGCGAAATATCTCGAAAACTAAGCATTTTAGGGAAAAATGTTTCAGACAAAGTTATATGGTTTCAAAGGGGACACATAACAACTCATCGTATCATTTTGTTTACACACAGAGAGAACGATTTAGTTGAATCTAACAAATGCTTATTTGGAATAGTCGAAATAAATTTTTTGATTGATCGAATAAAATTTTGTTTGACGCAACAAAAAAATTTCGTTGGAACTAAGCTGCAACAAAATATTTTTGTTGCGTCAAACAAAACTTCGTTCGATCAATCAAAAAATTTATTTGGACCATTCCGAATAAGCATTTGTTAAATTCAACTAAATCGTTCTCTCTGTGCAGATGGCGCCACTTTTGAGATATTCACTGATCATTACTTTTCTTAAATAGAAACTTCCATTTTTTATTATATCATCTTTTTCTGTTTAACACGTTGACTGCCAACTACGAGATATCTCGTAGGTTGTTTAGGTTGCCCAGGACGCCTAACTACGAGTTATCTCGTCCCTTCATTACTTGCCATATTTGTACAGCTACGAGGAAACTCGTATAACAGTGTAAATATGAATAGATGGCCTCAAGAAAGAGAATAAAAAATGTTTAAAAAAAAAAAACATTTTTTAAGGTTTTTGATTATTACTATGTACTATTATTAAAGTTTTTAATAATATAACATGATTAAATCAAATTGGCTCTTTTAGACCGGAATCGTGAAAAATTCCGTGGCAGTCAACGTGTTAATTAGTTTTTCTACTTGATTTTCTACTTAATTAGTAATTTTCTACTTAAAATTAATTTAGACAACTTTTGTCTGACATTTTTTTATTTGCCTATTTTTTGAGATATTTAAGGAAAACTTTGTAACTTTTTCAACATTTAACTTACGATATCTCGCTAACTGTTTGTCGAAGGGAAAAATAATACTACGCCCTTTTACTTTATTTAATCTCAAGAATATATTGCTACGATAGTGCCCTAACTTTTGTTAACTTATCGACCTTTGGAAATTTCAAAATTATCAAATTAACAAAGACGCTATCGTCGTAAGTGCCCTATAGTTCCTCTAATTTCCAGCAGTACCGAGAGAGAGGTAGTCTGCATGCTCTTGCTAATGAAATTAGATAAATAAATGCTCCAGTGCGTATTTTATTTTGTCCAAGATAAATATGATAATAAATGTAACGGACTTGAAGTGTCGAAGCATTTTTAATGTCTTTGGAATTTTTCATTAAGAATTTAAAAGTAGACTATGAAACCTCCTTTTTGTCCGAATACATTTCTTTTCTATCTGTCAAGATTACCGAGTTATTCAAGCAAGTATGAAAGTGTTCGTGATGCGTACCTGATTTTGTTCTGTACTGCACGTCCCAGCATAAAATTCGGGTATCCACAGGATATCCGCAATGTCCGTTTGAATTGTCCTTGGGATTTCCGGAGGATGTCATTGTGCTATCTGGGTCACGATACTCGATACTCGATACTGAGAGATATTCGTATCAGCGAATATTATTTCTCCATAATTGCCGATTAGTGATTTTACGGATTGTCTATATTCGATTCCTAGTACATTTTCAGTACTTTAGCGAATCGCGTCTGATTATCTCGCTTGTAACGATGCAAGCGCAAAGCCGAGTGCGTTAATGTGGGGCATTTGGCGATCTGATGGATACACGGCTACTCGTCCTCACTGCGTTTCACCGCGGTGCACTTTATTCGCAAACAATTTCGCAATCCGCGCGGTACTCGGAATGAGAAAGAGATAACGTAGTCAATCGTTGATATCATTAATTAAAAGTCACTACAAAATTAAAAAAAAAAATATTACTCTCGTTTCACTAGATTGATAAAGTAATTCGATATTTCTAAAGACGAATAAATACAGTCTCGTCTTGAGTATGTACAATTTCGACGAACTCAGCAACTTCGAACACACAGTGCCGTACTCGCGCGATATCGCTCGAATTTATATTTCTCTTTGTGTGTGTGTGTGTGTGTGTGTGTTTAAAATATATAAATATAATATATTGTAAGAGCAACTGTGTGATTTTGCTATTCGTAAATTATAAATTACAAATCACGGGGAACGCGACGCGGTGAACCGATGCGCGTTCTTCGACCGCGGGGTTCCGCCCGAGCCATTTTTCGTATCATCGCGCGCGCGCGCGCGCGCGGTCCGCTGATAAGCAATAATCGGGACGACACACCTTTTGGCGACTTTCGCGCGCAGCCAGCGCGGTGTGCGTGCACGCGACGAGTGCCGATCATCCGCCTCCGTGACCGGCGCCGTGAATCTCCGGGCCTTCGGCGCGTCCAGTCGATCCTCGCCGTCTTCGCGCAGCCATCCTCGGCAACGACGCATCAATTGTCGTCGGAGTCCAGGTTGCCGTTCATCTCGTCGCAGTTCTCCGTGGCGTTGAGCCGCCAGTGGTAAGACGACGAAGAACTGGCTACAGTCGCGGTCTCTTGGCTTCGGTGAAAAATCCCGGAGGATCTGCCGGCGGAGCGCTATGTCATCGACGAGTATCTTTGATCGGGCAGGACGTAACCGTCGGTGTCGGCCGACGAGGCGATGATCTCGTTGCTGCCGGCCGGGTTCACGTGGTGACTAGTCAGGTGCGACATGGACGAGGTGATCATGTTCGGATGATACTGCGGGTGGTGATGATGATAGTTGGTCTGCGGACTGTGCATATGCGAGAGCTGGGTCGGATAGTAGTCGCCGGTGTACGGCGTCTGGTAGGCGTTATAATTCTGCCCGGCGTACTGGCTCGTGTTGACGGATGTGGTCGTGGCGGAGGCCGGGGTCCAGCTGAAGCCGGGCGGATGGTACTCGGTGGTGTGGTGGATCTGATTGACCGGAGTCGTGTAGGACGGCGGTTGCAGCTGACTGGAGCCCGGCGTCAGCGGTGGCGACGGCGTCGTCAGGTTGCTGTTGCCCGCGCTGCCGCCGGTCGGTGTCGTCCCCATACGCGGATACGTCGTCGACGTCGTGAGCAACGGCGAGCTGCCGGCTGCCGGCGCTTCTCTGCCCTGCGGCGGCGAGTTCGGCGGGGATCGTCTGTTGGACGTCGTCGTCGACGTGCTGGTCGGTACCCTATTGGTCGCGTTGCTGTTGTTGCTGTGATTCTGACTCGATCTGGGGGAGCTCTTGGCTGGCGGCGGGGTCTGTTGCTGTTGCATTTGCTGTCTGCATTTCGCTCGGCGATTCTTGAACCAGACCTGCAACAGAGAGAGAGAGAGAAAGAGCCGAGGACGGCCCGTGAACGAGCTGCGGGAACCATCAACGACCAGACGCAGCGGACGTGTAAGAAATGGAAAAACGAAGGTCATTATTCGTGTCTCTTCCGGGACAATGTCTCTGCGATGATGATGATGATGATGATGATGATGATGATGATGATGATGATGATGATCGTCCTTGGGATAATATTCCGTCGCGGAAGAGTTCCAAGATACTCAACACGGCCGGAGAAAATCAATTAAGCCCCCCTGACTGAGGCATCGTCCGCGATATCTCAGCGAGCTTTCAACGAGCCGTGAAAGTCTGTTGCGGGAGGCAACTGATGGAAGCCGTAGCCCCAGGGACCGTCGGGGGAGGAAAGGTGTCCCAGTGTCCCGCCGCGAGAGACGAGACCGACCGAATGGGGAGTTAATCGGTGCAATGGGAAAGTAATCGCGGCCGAGCGGGCGTAACATTTCATTAAATCGCAACAATAACAAGGACTCGGAGGGAGGAGCCGTACGGGGGGCGCCCGTACGAACGCCCGACGTCCCGACACGCGTGTATTGGAGCATCCCCTGGGATCCTCGGTGACTACGGTGTAGTTCGTTGGCACGCATGCGCGAATCAGAGCCCGCCGTATGAACCAGGCTTGTTTCACCCCGGTGTTCGAGATCAAATAGTTGCTCCTGCCAACGAGTGAATGCGTGCGTGCGTGCGTGCGTGCGTGCGTACATACACGTGCATCTCGTTCTCATGCATACACGAACGTGTACCGCATACATACGTAAGCTTTCATACACATGTGTAGTTGTGCTTTATGACTATAAATACGACACGCTTCCATGTACGCACACGCGCGCGCGGCAATCCAAAAGACGCGCATACACACACACACACACACACACATACACACACACACGCGCGCACGCTCGCGCGCGCGCGGATTTTTCTCCCTGGAAAAGGGATGGCAGGGGGACAAAAAGCAACCCCTCGCAGGCCGCAAGCTCACGAGTGCGTTGTGACCGCCCTTCTCCCTCCTCCGTCCCGCGCGATACTCCCCCTCACGCATCCCTCTATAATCCGGGGGGCACAATGTGGCCAGGGGTGCGATCCTATGAATCTATGCCCGCGCCTTTAAAAGCGGGACCCGTCATCGTTGTTGTTATTATCGGCGGCATTGTAACAGTTGTTACGGAGAGCGCGAATCGCCGGAGCGTACAGGGGATTTCGAGCTGCAATGCCGCACACGTCCGCCGCCGCCGGCGGAGCGGCAAAAGCCGAGGAGCCATGCGCGCCAACCCTTTCTCTCGCCTTTTGTCTCGGCGACGTCAGGAGGAGACGTCGCTCACTCTTCGATTCAATTAGAGATTGTTCCGAGAGATTATTACGGGCCGGCGAAATTATGTCACGTTATCGCATGCATCGTGGAGAAATGTTGCGAACTAGATGGAAGATGGAGATTCTTACGAGACGCGGAAAGGGCTGCCATTCGTCCCGAATGATTCCGTCGCGCCTCGCGCGGCGCGATCGTAACGCAACGTTGAGGGTAACGAAAATGTTGGATCTGCGCGATGTTCTCTCTTTCCCCCTCCGCAACGTCTCGACAACGAAAGCGTCTCGGTCGACTCGGGGAAGCTGTAATTACTCGCCACCGTGCTCGTCGTCGCCCCGCTTGTTTGTCTTCCGCTCGTCTCCGCGCCGAGCGCCGATAGGCGGATCCATACGCTTCGCAAAAGTCATCCTCCGCGAGGCGAGGCGACACTATGGACGCGCCGCGACGCGACGCGATGGGGTGCGCAAATCTGTCCGGGCGCGTCATGCGCGCGGATATTGCGTATCAACGCGCGCGCGGCGAAACGAGCCCTCGCCGGTTTCGAACGAGGAAGACGGATCGACGTCGAGGTCAACGCGGCAGACAGAGAACGATCCCATTATAGCGCCGTGTTTGCACAACGACACCCCCTTTCGGAAGCTATAGACACGCGCGCGCGCGCGCGAGAGAGAGAGAGAGAGAGAGAGAGAGAGAGAAAGCGAGAGAGGAGGCAGAGAGGGCCACCCCAAAAACCAACCAAACAGGCCGCGATGGCATCCGAAGACCCCCGGGGGCAACCACCGCCGACGGTTTCACGCCTGTCCACGAGGCCGAGGTGCAAATTGCGCCACCATCTGGTTTACATCCAACGAGCGGGAAACCACCCCGCTAGCCGGGAACGGGACGGAACGAACGAACGGGAGAGGGAAGGGAGAGGGGGCGGCGCAGCTGCGTTGACACTGTGTCTGTTATGACAAATATATTTTCTTATTTGTACTATTAATACGAGCTCACCGGGGAGAGTATACCTATCCGCCGGGTAGGAACGTGTCATCGTTTGGTACGCACGATTGATGGAGGAAAGTAGCGCGCGCATGTGTGTGTGTGTGTGTGTGCGCGCGCGCGCGAAAGCCGCACGTGTTGTTTGACAATCGCGAATGCGCCGATCAGCGCGCGCGTTTGACGTTTGCTCGTTTGTCCTTCGCGCCCGATATCGCGGCACCGTGAATATTTGATCGTGGAACGCCTTTTTTTACTTCCATCTATCCCCTCCCCCTGCTCTCTTTCTCTCTCTCTCTCTCTCTGTCTCTCTTTCTCTGTAGTATAGGAAACATCCTACAGGAGCACACTCGGATACAACGGGAGCCAAGGGAGCATGCCGACTCCTCTATCTTCAAGCTGAGATTCGCGATCCTTGATTGATATAATAAGAAGGGGACATAGAGACAATAATAAGTGTAACGTAGAGAACATTGTTAACAATCACATAAAAGACTCATGCTTTATTAACGTACAATATTACGCTTATGATATTCGAACGCAAGCCTCTGCCCGGTACATATTCACAGAGCGAAGCTCTGACTATGGAACTCGGCGAGACGACGACACTCGAGGCACGTGGCGATAAACGGCTCAGGAGTCTGGCGATAGTTTCGTCCACATAAAACCCATCGAGAGCAGCCGGTTTCTCTTCCCACTCGCGAGGAAATCGTTTGTCCTGCTTTCTTGTCTGCCATCCACGAAACAACATTTTTCGTTTCGGCTCGCAAGTGACGTACGAACGACGCGGCGTTCAAAGAGAGAGCGAGAGAGAGAGAGAGAGAGAGAGAGAGAAAGAGGGAGGAAGAGAATGAGAAAAAAAGAGAGAGAGAGAGAGAGAGAGAGAGAGACAGAAGAAGAAAGGGAGAACGAGAGATTCGATGGTGAAGCGAAGCGCGGCGCGTCGCGTCTCTCGCAGCTGCGTGGTTCTCTTCAGCGAGAGAGAATCGCGCGTATAGAGCTCTCGCGCGCGATAGATAGAGCAGGGGGCTATAATCCAGGAACAAATCAACGATATGTTGTGCCTTGCACACCGCACTACCTTGTGTGTACCTTTATCCGCAGCGTACACGCGCCTACCGCCCGCGGTAGGGTGTGAGACCTTTGCCATCCTGCGTCCCCTCCCCCTCTTGTATCTCCTCAGCAGACCCCCTGCCTTTAAAACTTTCAGATAGTGTATCCCTCTCCTCTTCAGATATTATATTATTCGTTCGCGTAGATGCTATAACTTGGAAACGCGCGTATGCAGCCGAACTACATACGTGTGCCGCGCGCACGCGCGTATGTATGTGTACATGCGTACACACAGATAAACTCCGCGTATAGCAATTGTAGTTCGCCACTGTGCGCGCGAATACGCACACAACCACACACGTTCAACAGCCTCATATACGTGCCTCATATACGAGCGCGCGCAGATGTATATACGTATGTACGTATGTATCCCTACCGTGCGGTACACCCTTTTGCAGTTGCGCCGCCATTCACGGAGGCTTAACTTCGCGCGGAAACTCCACCGGCCCCGAATTTCCTCGCTTTTGTCCTATATATTTCATGATTCCCGCGGGACGCGTTCGTTACGATACGCGCGTTACCTGGCTGTGCGAATCGCCGGTGACTTGGACGCGTTTCCACAGAGAGCGCGAGAGAGAGAGAGAGAGAGACAGAGAGAGAGAGAGAGAGAGAGAGAGAGAGAGAGAGAGAGAGAGAGAGAGAGAGAGAGAGAGAGAGAGAGGCGCAAACGAGCGAGATCACACGCAGGACCTGCCGCCGCGAATAAAACGTTCGACTCTCCACAACCGAATCCGAAGCGACGCGATCTCGCTCCTTCTGCTTCTCATGTCTCGCCCGACATGCCGCGCAGCGCGATCGACTTATCCTCGCGTATCGCGCGCCAACGATGGTCTACGGTGGATTGAAATTCGGAATTCAAGGCACGAGCTCGAAAGCCCCCAAGAGAGCTGGAGAGAAGAGAGAGAGAGAGAGAGAGAGAGAGAGAGAGAGAGAGAGAGAGTGTCGCGATCGTGACTTGGTAGCGCCCCGCCGCGAAATAAAGATGTCACGGGGACCGCAATAAAAGCGTCAACGAGCTCGTCGGCACATCTATCAATGTACGAGCCCCGGGCTGGGACAATGGCGAGATGGAACGACGTAGGGCGCGAATGCCGCGTTGTGTAAATACCTTAAATCTCGCGGATGATTGCCCGAGCACGAAGTGTGCTCTCTTCTCGGTCTCTCTCTCTCTCTCTCTCTCTCTCTCTCTCTCTCTCTCTCTCTCTCTCTCTCTCTCTCTCTCTCTCTCTCTCTCTTTCTCTCTCTCTCTCTCTCTCTCCCTCTCCCTCTCTTGCACTCTCTTCTCTTCCCCTTTTCTTCGCTCTCGCTTTTCGTTCCGAGATCGGCGTGTTTGCATGTTACATTGAACGTGCAAAGGACATAATGTAACTCGAGGCGTCAATACGCAGAAACGAGCGCGCGCCGCGCGCGGCGACCTCGGGCTCACCGGAAGTTCACGGAAATCCCGTCTGAGTGACGCAGTTTCTCGTTGTCATAACCCGATCGTCGTCGACAGCTACAATTCGCCAAGGAAATTAAGTCCACGAACGGAAGGAGAGGAGGGAGGCAGTGACGCGAGGTAATTACCTGGACTCGTGACTCCGGCAAGTTGATCTTGAGAGCAACTTCCTCTCGCATAAAGATGTCCGGGTACCTCGTTTTCGAGAACAGTCCCTCCAGCACGTCCAACTGAGACCTGGTGAAGGTGGTTCTCTCGCGACGCTGCTTGCGCTGATTCATTCCTGCAACACGAGAAGAAATAGCGCTCGATGTTAATTATCGCGTCTCGTAAATCCCGGCGCGGGCTTTCGTGTTTCGTCGCGTATCCTCCAATGCGGTGCGCTTACGAGCCCTCGTAAAATCGCCCCGCGCTTCGAGAGAGAGAGAGAGAGAGAGAGAGAGAGAGAGAGCAGCGATACGGAAATTTGCCGGCCACGCTCGCGCACGACTATCGTCGTCCTCGTCGTCGGCGGCGGGTCGATCGGCGGTTCATTAAACCGCTCGATACTTTCGTGTGTTAATTGTACGCGATAGGAGCCGACGGTTTTACACCCTGCGCATAAAACGCAACGACGCGATCGACGTCGATGCGATGTACAGATAACGTTAAAAGTGCAAATAACGCGTGCAAATAATCGCGAAGCATGCCTCGCCGAGGTCCAACGAACTCGCACGTTGCGTAACGAAGAACGGCACAAACGAGATTGCTAGAGGATAGGAAATCGAGCTCATGTCGAAAACGTTTAACTTTCCCGAAGAGTACGCTCCAATCTTCCCCTTTGGTGTATACCATAAAACTACTATCGGATGAGGAAAGAACGAGGAGCGAAACCGCCGGAGAAGCTGTCGTCAGGTAGAAAACATTGATATCGCTTCAATACATTCGCCAGTCGCACGGAACGCTCGTCGATGACGATGTTTTCCTCCTCCTGCTCTTTTTCTTCTTCTTCTTCTTCTTCTTCTTCTTCTTCTTCAAATATGGAGCGTCGATGTCTTCCACGAAGAAGACGGGGGTTGCCGTGTACGCGACGGACGAAGGGCCGCAAAGGGGGATCTCTCGTTGCTCTTCCCCTCCCCCCTCTTTTCTCTCTCTCAACAAACGTGGAGGGGTGTGGAGCGTTGCGAGGCCGCGATAGCGTAATTTTGAACAGCTCCCCTCCGCCCCCCAATGGCCCACCCCACGCTCTCTACCTTCCTCGTGCCATCGAGCCTCGCTTGGCTCGTTTCGGGACCCACGTAATCCGCTTATGAGGGGGTCACAGGGGTGCCATGAGGCAGGATGGGGGAGGGAGGCAGGGAAGCAGAGAGTACACCCCGGAATACACGAGCATCCAGAGGACCGAAGTCGCGGTTCGCTCCCAGCTGCCGCTGGAAACGACGATACCGGCTCTCTCTCTCTCTCTCTCTCTCTCTCTCTCTCTCTCGCTCTCTCGCTCGCTCTCTCTCTCGCTCTCTCGCTCTCTCGCTCGCTCTCGACGGCGAGCGCACCGACCGACCGCGAACGAGCGCGGCGCGCGTATATACGACCCGTGTGTCCTCGTCGCGGGCCAATAAAAAGGAGCGCTTGGAAAACTGCGCCTTGGCAGTGTCTCCGGGTTGGAAGCCGGATCGTAAAGTCGAAGGCGGAATGGTGGAATCCTTGACCGAACCGGGGGGGGGGGGAGGAAGGGCGAAGGGGGCGGGGGAGATCGCCGGTCGCTCGGCCGCCGGAGTATTTTTACGCGGCGAATTTTCGTGCTGTCGTCTCGCTGCGCGCACGACAGCGAGCGAAGAGCTCGCGATGTTAATAAGGGGGGAAAAGAAACGGAGGCCCTTGGAATATACCCGATCGAGGATGTGGCCTAATCTCTTCATGAGCCTTCCTCGGCCGTGGTAAGCTTTTCCATGGCGCGAGTTCCTTATCCGACTTTATGACCGCGATGATCGACGACGTGTGCGAGTTGGGTAATCGAGAAAACAGGGTCATTCGCGGGCAGATCGCGGCGAAACCTTTCTATATACGAAGTATACGCCCGCGATCGCGACGGTTTAAGACTCGGTTGGCACGCGAAGCAGCTGTTTACCCGACGATCGATGCTCTCTCTCTCTCTCTCTCTCTCTCTCTCTCTCTCTCTCTCTCTCATACACACACATACACACACACTCCTTCCTCTCTCATTTTCTTATCGATGCGCAGAGCAGCTACTGGACGAGCAAAAAGAGACGCGGCATTATAGTGCGAGAGGGAGAAAGTTAGCGTTTCAGCGGTGAAAAGCAAAATGATTTAAGCTGAATGAAAAGCTGGGCGTTGCGAATCAAGAAGAGTACATGGCGGAGGAGAAAAAAGATTGTGTCATTTGTAAAAAATCGTGGGTCTGTTCTTTTCAGCTGAACTCGTGCTGCGCTGGAACTGCGCTGGTTCAGAACCAGAACCGACGAGTACAGCAAAGGCTCGTAGGTGCAGAAATGCCAGATAAAATAAAAAACGCCACAGTGCAGAAAACCACATAGCGCAACACGTGATTGCAGCTGTTAATTCTTCAGATGATTCTTCAGATGATTCTTCAGATGAAGAAGATTTTCTTTTACCTTTGTGTACCTCCATTATACACGCAGAACCTATCTCGGATGAAGAACATGATGGTAATATACTGTTATTTTATGCGGCAAAATCGGAATTAATATTAATAAAGTAAAAGCTACAAAAGTATCTCGTATCTAACAACTTCAGGGAGATGCTATTACCAACGCAAATGCTACCAAAGCCGTTCATGGAGTCAATAGCGCAATTGCGATAGCGATCAGCAGCTTCTGTGAACAGCTTCAGCGTTTTGAAGGGTGTTTGAAATTATTAGCTTCTGGATATTAATATTGATTTGTGTTACTAGAAAGTAGAAAACAACTTTGATATATGTTTAATATATCTCTAAATGTTTTATATATTTCTTAATGTTTCAGATCAATTTCTGAACGATTTAATGTCGGTAGAAGTGTACCGCATTATACATATTCATAACATATATAAAATAAAAATAATTAATACCAGCACTTTGTACAGTTCATATCACCATGTTCTGGGTGTTCATGACTTACAAACACTATCAAGGCAAACGCTATCTTTACACTACTTTGGAAGAAATAGCATTGATAGCGCGAAGTTATGATGTAAACGCTACTATTAATGACGTCATGACAGCCGTTATTAGCGCTACCGTCTAGCTCTGCGAACAGCCTGTAGCGCTAAATAGCACCAACAGCGTCTCCGTGAACGCACCCTGAAGGTCCCTGTTCTTTTCAAATGCACTACCTAAGCCGGTGTAAATCTTGCCCTCGCAATATAATGAACTGTTGCATTAAGCACTCTGCTGCACTGGTGGAAAGAACAGTAACATCTGACGTCACTTCTGCCGGAAAGAACGCTTCAATGTACACTTCTTGAACTATTAGGTGTACCGAAAAGTCTTTTCATATTTTAAAGCTTCCAATTTCCGTGGTTGCACAGTGTACGGGTTCTTAATTTTAATCCAGAATTAATTTATATTCAAGGATCAGTTAACAACATTTCTTTATTGTACATATCAATTTTCGTTAAGATCGAACTTACTCTTGAAGAATGGCAGCGTTTGGACCAAGTGAAGAACACGGAGAAACGGAAAGGTTTTCCGCTACCCCGAATAGTGCAGAAAGTTCAGCTGGAAAGAACGAATCCCGCGTACGCGCGGTTGTGCCGCCTTAAAGGACGAGCAGCAAAGCGCCACTTGAACGAGGAATAATTCGCATATAACGTGAGACATTCAAACGTGGTGACTTTCAGGAGAAAGAACGAGGCGCGTGAAACATTTCAGTGAGTAGCAGCGTAAACGTCAGTGCGCTCAAGCGACTTGGGGCTTGGACGAATACGCCGTTCGAGGTACGAACGACAGTGGAGCTCTCTCAATGGACGCGGGGCAACAGAAGCAAAGCAACCGAAGCGCCGAAGGAAGGAGCGGTCCAGGAGGAGGAAACGACGTAGCTCTCGTATCGCTCTCGCATCTCTCTCACCCGGGCGCTCTCCGCTCTTGGCTTCGAAGAGACCTCGGGGGATGACGACGATGACGACCAACGACGACGAACGACGACGATACCTGCGTGATTGGCTAACGAACTGGTCGAGTGGGCTACCAGCATGGCACCGCGGTAGATCCACGGAGCAGATTGCGTCGAGCTCACAATGTACGAACGCCACGGTGGTCGGAATTACCGCCATCGCTTCGTGACGGGCGCGACACACCCGCGATCGTCGGATCTATACGATACGTATCTCGGCCGCCCCCGTCGCGCGGATCCGCCATTGATTACAGGCAGGCAGAAAAATCCTCGGGGTGAAACAATCGCCATAGTTCTCGGGATAATCTCTGATCTGATCGGCCCGGCGCGGCGGGGGGAGTCTCGCGGTATTTCGCGACTACGCGACTGCTATCTTCGCGTGTGTGACGGGGATATTTCTTTTTTACACGCGCGGTGCGAACGACGCTTGCACAACGCGAAGATATTGAGAGAGAAAAAATGGCGGGGTCGAGAAATCTCGGCGATGAACGAGACTGCCATTGGAGTCTTTTCATGTGAACGTAGTCGTCGGATACGCCGGCGGAGATGGCGGCGGCGGCGGCGGCGGCGGCGGCGACGGCGACGGTAAAAAGGGGCTCCGAAAGGACGCTCTGATTGTCGAGTGGGCGTTAACGACGGTCTTTGCTATCGGCTCGGCGACAGCAGACACTTGCCCGCGGTCAAAACAATAGCTCTCCGATTATGATGGCTCTCGGCTGCTTCGAAACGCGGAGCACCGCGTACTCGTCGCGCTCGCGCTGCGTTTCGAACAACGGCTCGGCAATCTCCCTTCAAACGTAATCAAAAACATGTAAAATCGTCGCCGTCGCGAACGAGCGAGTAGTCGTCCAAATCGCCGCGAGTCGTTTGTCGTTGATTGCGCGCTGCGATAAAAAGAGAAAAAAAAGAGAAGAAGAAAATGAGCACGGAATATCGCGGATCGGAAAGTGCGCGCGCGCCCTTTGCGATTGATTGAAATGCATGAGCGGGAAGTCGTGACGACGCTTCGACGAGAGACAGTCGTCGGGTAAGCGATCCTAATGGGTCGGCAAACACCCGCTGGCTCCCGGAGTATGATCCAATTTATTATCGTCGGCGTGAGAGACGCGATACCGGGGAGGGTTGATATAAGGGTTGCTCCGCCTCATTGGCCCGCAACCAGATCAGACGCGACCCT